GAAAGACTTTTCTGGATATGAATGAGCTGAATTAATAAAAGGGGTTTTTGTCAGGACAAGGAGTTTGCTTCATACTCTTGGGAAACCTCGGTCAGAACAACTTCAATATTTGGAAGATTCTGTCAATGCCACCTTACAATAAGGTAGAATTAGCTCATTTGGTTGTGATTTCTAACTGGTTTACTTCAGGAGGCTGACAGGAGGAAGATCCTTCTAAATATTAAATTAAATTATTAAATTAATGCAGGTGTATCCAACTCAAGGCCCAGGGGCTGGATGCAACCCACAGGGTGCTTAGGTCTGGCTCGTGAGGCTGCCCTGGAAACAGCCAAGAATCTGGCCCACAGTGTCCCTGCCAGTGAAAACAGAGCTCGGGAGGGCTGCCCTCCTGAGCTCCATTTTTGCTGGCAGAAGGTTGCAGGAGACTGTCGCAGCTGAAAATGGAGCTTGGAAGCCCGTTTTCACTGGTAGAGTGCTCAGGCCAACTCAGGGGCCCCACATGAGTGATGTTGAGGTGGCCACATCCACCCAGCCACACCCACCCCGATTTCCCGAGGTCAAACACAACCCTGATGCGGCCCTCAATGAAATTGAGTTTGACACCCTGGATTAATGCAAAAAATCCAGCTAGCTCAACCCCTAAACATTCCTTGAAAGAATATGGTCAGTAGATTATCTCCTAGGGTTAATAAATTCAGGGATAGTTGAGCTGATGTCCCAACAAAAGATACCGAAAAGGAAAGATCAGGGTAAGGCAAAGGCATTTGTTGCCAATCAATGAATGGATTAGAAGCTTGTAACTCTGGTGGATCAGGGATCATGTAGATTTGGACAACATTTATTTAACAGATTTAACAGTTTAACAGAGTTGGAAAGAACATTATGGGTCATCTTGTCCAATCTCCCCCCCCCCCCACTCAATCAGGAGACCTTACACCATTTGTGACAAATGCCAGCCCAATCTCTTCTTGAAAGCATCAAGTGATGAAGCTCCAACAACTTCCAAAGGCAACTTCTGTTCCATTGGTTGATTGTTCTCACTGTCAGAAAGTTCCTCCTTATTTCTAGGTTGAATCTCTCCTTGGTCAGTCTCCATCCACTATTCCTTGTCTGGCCTTCGGGTGCTTGGAAAAATAGCTTAGCCCCCTCCTCTCTGTGTCAGCCCCCCAAATATTGGAAGACTGTTCTCCTGTCTCCCTGGTCCTTCTCTTCACTAGACTAGCTATTCCCAGTTCCTGCAACCGTTTTTCATATGTTTTGTCTTTAATCCATGGACCATTCCATTCACCAACAGAAGGAAGGACAGCCAAGCACTTATTTTGGGGGTCAGAAGAAAATAAGACCCTGTCTTATTTTCGGAACAGAACATGTTCTGCAGAACATTAACTTAAACAGGGAAAATCCAAAATAATTTCCAATATCCTGAATCCAAGAAGAAAAGCCTTCCCCCAGTTCAGCCAGGTTTCCACCATGGTTGTTTTATCTACTACTCTTCTGAATTCCCCTGCTCTTCCAAAGCATTGTAAGCAGTGGTGGGTTCCAGCCGGTACGGCCCAGTACAGCCATACCGGTAGTAGTCGGGAGCAGTGACCACCGTACCAGTATGGTGGCTCATTTGGCCCACGTGTCCACCTACGTTCCTTACCTGTTTTTAAGGTAACCGGGGCAATTGAGCATGCACACACAGTGCGCGATGCCTGCGCAACCTCTGACAAGCAACTGGGTGTCGCAGGGGCAGTGGAGTGGGCATACGTGTGCAGTGCATGTCAGACGAATGTACAAAGCACATCTGATGTGTGCACAAACGGACGACGAGCAGCATACCGGTAGCAAAAGTAAGAGCAACCCACCACTGATCATAAGGTAATGGAAATAACCTGGAGCACACCTGAATTTCAACCTTCACATTCAGGGACTGGGAAGGCAAGAGCATATCTGTTGCATTCCACTCTGGTCTACTCACATGGTGGAGGAGCTACTACGGTTGAGATCAGTGGTGGGATTCAAATAATTTAACAACTAGTTCTCTGCCCTAATGACCAGCTGGGTAGGTGGGGCTCAGTAGTCATGTGACTGGGTGGGCATGGCCAATTCACCGTCAGTCATATTGATGGGCATTTCGCCTTAGCTGTTACAATGTAGTAAGGGTTAACCAGAGGGGGAATTTTTGTAAGCAGGGCAATAAAGATTAGAAACTAATAGAACAACACCAGAATGTTTCCTTCCTGCCTTCCTTACAGGATTAGCCCTGTAAAGTGGGGAGAAAAACAAAAGGAGATTTCTTCCAACAACCGGTTCTCCGAACTGCTTAGAAAGTTAACAACTGGTTCTCCTGGATAGGTGCGAACTGGCTAAATCCCGCCACTGGTTGAGATCCCCAACCCAAAAGCAGAAATAATTCATCATACCATAGCTAAGGGAAGAATGCCAACGAGATCCTTCTGGCTGACATAAATCTTGGAGATGCTGAGGTCAGATGTCTTTCCTCCGGGATATTCAACCTGCCACGTAACAAACTGCATTCCTTGCAATTCGCTGAGAGCTTCCATCTCAAAATCCATCTGCAGGATCTCGGAGGAAAAAGGAGACGTGCTGGAGAGAGAGGGAGAGAGAGAGAGAAAGAGAGGGAAAAATGCACAGAGTCAGCAAACATGATTAGTCATTCATTAGACAGTGCCATCCTGGTCTCCAGAATCAACTCTTGACTTAACCCATTTTACATGGGAAGAGGTGCCCATTCAGAGCCCCTTTGCTATTTATTTTTAATAGTCTTGACTATTGCAACGCGCTCTACATGGGGCTGCCCTTGAAGAGCATCAAACATTGCCCAGATTGGTTTGGCAAACAACGGACTTTGTCCATTGCTTGGCTGAAGTGCATCTTTTGCTGTAATTCAGATATTCCTCTGGTCTACCTCAATCTAGATCTGCAGAATCAAAGATTTACTATAATAAAGTATTACACTGCTTCTGCATTTTATACAGATTATAATTCCTGTGATAATCTTCAGAGGTAAGCATCTATGGAGATTCTCATTCATCCAAGTCTTGATTGTCCCAAAAGTGCTTTTTTTTCCAGGAGGCAACTGGACTTTGCTTATCCTTGAAGAGGTTTCGCTTCTCATCCAAGAAGCTTCTTCACTTCTGGAGAACTGGAGAACTGAAGAACAGAACTGAAGAAGCTTCTTGGATGAGAAGCGAAACCTCTTCAAGGAAAAACAAAGAAAGTCCAATTGCCTTTTAAAAGCATCTTTAGGACATCAAAGGTAAGCTTCTGTAAACCTACGAAGTAACTCCTGCACCTGTAAATTAGTAGGCTGTTTTCTTCTTCTTCTATA